TCCGGCGTAGTTGCTGTGTTCGCAACTGCACCGGATCCGATAAACGACTTCAGACGCTTCTAGCCGTGGCAGTGAGTCTTTCGGTTTCATTACCTGACGCCCGATGGTTGCATCTGGTCTGTGTACAACTCCAACCCCAAGTGGTGCGAGAAGGCGGCTGACAGCTTCGGAAACGTTCTTGACATACGGAAACGTCCGCCAAGATTTGGTGTCCGTGCGGTTAGGCCTTTCTTCTTCTTCTTCTTCTTCTTCTTCTTCTTCTTCTTCAAGACTGATTTCTGGGACTCTTCTATTCGCTTCTATTGGCAGCGTCTCGATGGAAAACCTTCACACCGTCTGGACGTTTGGGTAGGCGCAGCAACTAGGTTTGCTGTTTTTGTCCAGTTGGTCCAGTGCTTGATGGAAGCACCCTCCTAACAAAACAGAGAGTTCTGAGGTTAGGGTTGTGATCTCGTTAGAAATTATTGCATACTCGTGTCGAAATGTCCCTAGGTTGCTTTGGGCGGCGGTGAAGTGCGACTTATGGTCCGTGGGTCGCGTCCGCATGCAACATTCTAGAAACCACCTGAATAGATCGCTGCTGATGTAAGAAAGGCTTTAGGAATTCGACACCCACTGCGGTTGTGCGTTTCGAACTCGGAAATCAGGGAGGCTATTATGAGTGGATATTTTTCTACTGAGTCATAATGCACAGATGTTGGTATTGAAAACCAGCGGGAGTAGGCATGACTGGCGTAAAGTGTTTGCGAAGATTGCAAGGCAGACGGCTCACTCATGCAGCAAAGAAAACCGGTGTGGTTTTGTAGCGGCGATCACAGCTCTGCGTGAGTGCACTGCAAAGGGTCCTTCAGCCTCCCTTCTGCTCGATGAATTTACTAGGACGTGTAGTAACTCAGAAAATGCTTTTAATAGTTGACTCTGACTGTTGTGCTGAAGAGTGACTCTACCGGTCGAAAGAACGTGCAAGAGTGGCGATTGCTTCAAGTGCTGTTTTGTGGCTTTAGTTGCGTATTTATTGGCGTCGCTTGCGCCTTCTCGCGTGCAACGGCTCATTACGACTTCTTGGAGTGTTATTACTGACAAAGACAAGGGAGACTGCAATGGCCATTTCTGGCTTGTTAACCGTCGTCAACCAGTCATATCCAATCCCGAAGTGTGGAACACCCGAGCCTCGAACTCGCGACCTGTTGGTTTAGAAGTCAACGCCTCTACTCACCGGGCCACGAGCCCGTTGCTCTGTCGGTTTCGATCGGGAATATGCAATGGTAAGGGGGCGCTCACCGATCGCTCTTACGGAACTCATTCATTCCGTTGTGCCTTACGGGCTCTCTCTCTCTCGAGCCCAACCAGCAGCCGCTTCTTGGACTGCACTTTGACTGTCTCTGTCCGTTTCTATTAGGTGCCTAGACCAACTAAGTTTTGGAAACCTAAGTCTTCAGTATCGTTTATATCATTTACACGAGGGTCTCATCTGCCTAGTTAGTTCAGATCTTAGCCCCCTTACTTGTCAAAGATCGAGAGAACTATGCTCTTCGAGCGTGACCATGGCAATAAAAACGGTTTGTTTGTCGCTAATCAGTGTTTCTTGAGTTTCATGATTTGTCCCGCCCCCAAGCGGTCCTCATTTATGTCGCAGCGTTAGATTAGAATTTAGTTCGGGGAATATATCGCCCAGACTTGTCGAATCGACTTGAACAGAGCAACAAAATTGAAAAATACAGCGGTTTCGGCAGGTTCTCTAATTTGATCCTTAGTCCTCTTGATGAATCCACGTATACGTGCACCAAAGCAGCGATGACTCCATATACACACAAACTGGACTTTAAAAGAAGGTACCAGGATCTGTCGAGGGTAGAATAATTTATGGAGTCGGTTGGAAATCTTCCGGATCACGCCTTTTATCAAGTAAGCTTTGTTATATTGGAAAATTAAACTCTGGATCAGCTTTACTCTTCCTCCTCCCCCCCCATCACGTATTAGTGGTAAGCCCGGATCAGGGTGGATGTCAGATACCTAACTTGCCAGTTCTGGGATCCATGGGACTGTCGCTTGCATACTGGTCGCATGTTCATATGAGCTTCATCCAGAGACGGTTGCTTTGAAAGAAGTCGGGCTTCCACGTTGGATGAATTGTTAGGACAACCGGATCTTGGAGTCCACTGGCCTATTAACCATCTGCAAGGCTGAACCAGCTTCCGCCAAGGGGACACGTTGCGACTATGTCAGATAAATGCCTGTCTAAAAAGAATGGGAAAGTGCTACGCAAACATCCCCAAATAATTGGAACCAAATAAGAGTTTAGGGGAACTTGCACACGCCATTGGCGGACATGGAGAACTGTCGTAATGAGTGGGACAACAGTCTCCAAAACTAGCGAGACTGCGAGAACACAAGAGGGAAATACTGAGGAACGGAGTTGCCGGCGTCCAGTCCGCTAATGTATGTTACCGCCCTAAGCACGCTTCCGAGGTTCAAATCGTCTTTGTGGAATACGATGGCATCAGTAGTAACACAGGCGTCTATTCTACTCCTAGATAAATTGTAATGACCACCAACCTCCCAAAGTCGGCCCTCAACGTGATCGCACATTCCAAACCCCGATTGGGCAATAAGTGCTCAGCCCAATGGGATCAGCTGTAAATTTCAGACAACTGCCGACGCCATAGCTAACAGCGTTCCAAAGTTAAGCGATTTAAATCTACAAAACTCGACCCAACAGTGGATAGCCATGCTGGCTCGATACTCCTGAGGCGTCTGTTGTTCCACGTTTAGGCACAATCTGGGAAGGGTTTACGGGGCAGGTGCGAAACCTAGCCCCGCTTGCACGTCGCTGTCGACTATCATTTCCGCCGCTTCGCTCTGCACGAGAACTCCACTTTGACTTGCCTATTTGCTTGGTGTCCAGCTAGGCTTTCCTTAATCGCATGGATTTTCCCTGCCTAATATCAGCAGAAGTATTTATCACACTCCATTTAGTCCGCAGTTGCAACAGGGCAGTTCGTCAGTCGCGAGCTGAGACCACCACCCCGAGAGCGCAGTCGTTATGGCGAAGTATGTTTCCGCAACATCTGCTCCACTATCCTCACTCACTCACCATGACCCAAATGGTAAGACAACGTCGTGACGTCTAATGATGGGTGTGAAGGTCAGCTATCCTCATAGGGAATGGAAGAGATCGTAGTGCACGCACTTTCGGATGATACTGACAGATAATCGACAAGAACGTGTTCGCAGACCAGTGGATCATCAAGCTGACCTTTCACAGACCCACCGTCTCAGTAGCATACGACATCGGTGATATTTCACCCAGACCGACAACCGTTAACAAGACCCTGCGCGTCTTCGAGGCCTAGGGGCTGGGGTATTCAATGTACCCAAACCCACCAACTGTGTTTACAGCTGTCGACAGAAAGCCCACGCAACGCTGACAGTTACGTCAGTGCTTACACCCATCCCCCCCCCCCCCCAGCTCTTGTGCCGAGTTGGCTCATGTAGCACTCCGGCCTTACTCCGCGGATGTGCGCTTTGCAAGAAAGCAACGGTGGCACCTGCAGTCAGCTTGTGGCCGGATCATCGCCGAAGGTCAATGCCCTTATCCAGTCTGTCGATGCACGACCTATACAGGGGCTTGGCATCGACGTTAGCAGCACCCCCGAACGAAGTTTTGATAGCTCTAGTCCTCACGCGGCCATTTCCGCCCACACTGTAGGATCTGGTGGTACCGAACCTCGACTTCCAAGGAGTGACTTATGGCAGTCGAGACGTTCGTGTTAACGCCTTGTTGGGCCACGTCTGACTAGGCACCCCTTCTCTCAAAGCCAAGTTTCTTTCGGATTCTTCGGTAGTCAGTTAATTTACAAAGCGCGACTGCAGAGACCAGGGCTTCATTTTTGACCATCCAAGCAGATGGCGAAACTGAAGCAATTATGAGTTCCCAAAACTACCTGAGCCTCTCCCAGAAGACTCGCCGGCGCAAATTTCGTCGGTTCGTTGTCAGCGATGACCCCACAGAACGCCTTCGGAAAGTCACTTTCCAGGCACGACGGACCATAGGAACCCACGACTGTCCTGTACGCAGATGTAGGTGCCTACGAGATACTGTTCGAGGCCCCAGCAAGTGGCTTTTAGTCCTTTTTCGGATAGGCAGCTAGCCTGGATGTGTTCACAGCTGCAAGTATAGAATAGGCAACAGGTACGTGCACAACAGGGCGACACGGAGTTCGAGCTAACAGTGCGCTCGCACTGGAAAAATGTCACCCTGTGGCTGGTGATACGTAAATGCGCCCTAGACACTTACGAGCGACACGGCACATGTTCGCAAAGCTCAATCAACGAGTCTCCCAATGACAAGCCACTAAAAGTCCGACAAAACGGGTGACTACTGGGATGGCGCCCAAACTCTAGACAAAAATGCACGTCCGGGTTCAAAAAAAACAGTAAGAAGTCGAGGTTGGACGGATACAAAGAGCTGGTTTGACAGGCACAAAACGGAGGATGAGGGTAATCACCAATTTCGGGTCGTGCAGCTGAACCTACGAGGGAAGCACCTGCGTCAGGCGATCTGTAGACTCTTGCGTGGCTGCAGATAGCGTCTGCTGTACAGAAGCAGGTAGCCCAAATTTCAGAGATGCGATGCACGTGCCCACGTCGAACCCCCAGGCCTCCCGCTGATCGGTGCAATAATAAAGCATCCCTACGGTTGATCATACACGAAGCTTTTGCTATGGTACCAAATAACCAGCGGAACTCAATGACCAATCGCCTTACAAATACCAAAACTTACAGGTGGTTTAAAACAATTTATGGTACAGCGTTTTATAGAATAAATGGTGTACAGAAAAGTATACAATGATTCTTCTGGACCGTTGTGTCAGTACTGATTAGTGCGTAATAGCAACAGCTGTAGATTTTCGAACACCGACAAAATAGACATAGTTTACCGTTACTATTATATATTACAATAGCTGTTGACGTAACTGCAGAGTTTGGCCGACCAGCGTCTAGACACCAAGCGGCTTTGGAGGGGGTAGTTTCTTTCCGATAAGGGACTTGTGGATGTGAGGAATGACACCACCACCGGCAATGGTTGCCTTGATAAGCGTATCCAATTCTTCGTCCCCTCGAATGGCCAACTGCAAGTGACGAGGAGTTATACGCTTCACTTTTAAGTCCTTGCTAGCATTTCCCGCGAGTTCCAATACCTCAGCAGTAAGGTATTCCAGAATAGCAGCTGAGTATACGGCGGCTGTCGCACCGACGCGACCGTGACTTGTTGTGCGGGTCTTCAGATGACGGTGGATACGACCAACAGGGAACTGAAAAGGAATTCGTAAAATTATACAGCGGTTAGCCTTCCTTAACAACTACGACGGTGATTAGTTCGGAGAGGAATGTGCGCAGCTCAAATCGGACGTTATATCAAGCAAATTATCGAGACAAATTACTGGATGAGATTTTGGAAATATTGTTGAGAAGGCAAATTCACGCTGCCAGTTAGCAAGTACCACAGGAGCGCACTTTCACTCCACGGACTCTATCTCTCACCTGAGATGAAGAAGACGTCTTCCATATGAAGACACTGCTAGGCATGCCAATTCCTCATAGGCGGTAACAAGCCTAGGACTCTACACTAAGTCTTTCTTCCCAGTCCTTTTGATCTTGTCTGGTCAAAATGACACTAATCAGTGTCTATCTTGGGATTGCGTAGGACAAGTGATTACAATCACAAGGCAAGTTGTCGGGTGAAGACTGCTGTGTTTTCCTATAATGCGATCATTAAACGTGCAAATAGCATTGAATTAAGGTGGAAACTGAGGGGTGCGAAGTCTCAAACCTTGAGTGTTCTCACCGCTTTCTACTGGCGGGGTCACGACAGGTGGTAAGTAGTATTACGGATATTCACGGCATGCAATAGTGCACCTTTAGTGACAGCTATAACTTTAAAACAATCAAGTTTATTACGAAAATGACTCTCAGTTAGCCACTATCGCGTGAGTCCAGGCTCCGTTTGTCATACCAGAACGGCTTAGTACACATCTAAACATTCCTGAAAATTAAAGCGGTCATGTATGGGTTAAACGTAAGGTATTTGGGTCAGACTGTTGGCAGGTGGCGTTAAGATCACCAGCCGTTGGTGTTGTCCATTAGCGAAGCCCGGTCGGGAATCCGAGCGGGTATCTGAATGGACTTCAAAGAAGCTTTCAACAGTAAAGTACCATGCATAGCAGGGCCAAACACAAGAGGAAGCTGAACGTCAACAGCTAGATGGCAGAACTGTGGAGTAGGCGCATACTATAGCGGTAAACCCTACGTGGACTTTGTTTCGTTTTCCTAAGGAATACGGAGAAGACATCAAAATAAAACAACCAACAGTAAAATACGTAAATAAAACAGCTACTTCTGGCACAATTTCGACGGGCCGGAAACGGTTCTAGATTCTAAGACAGGCGCAAAGGTTAGTTAGACGTACCCAAAAAACTATAGGTCGTGTCAGGAACAAAACAATGCGCATTTTTCTTGTAATTACCTGAAGTCCGGCACGATGGGAACGTGAGATGGCCTTAGCTTTCGCTTTTCCTGAATCCTTGCCAGCTTTTCCTCCAGCCTAAACATATTTAAATAAAAAACACGGAACAGAGCAGACGCACCATAATGAAGACCGTTGCGCGAAATCTGGGAGAAAATTGAATTCATTCAGAGCGCCACCAATCGTACAGTTAGTTTGTCTAAACACTAGTGATGGATATCACCTGAGTACAAATGATTGGCTTTTCTTAGTTTCGTATACAACATCTAGTACCAAGAAAAATTGCAATTTGTTCGGAGTCTTAGAAGAATATTTATTTCTCGTGAGAAGGTCTTAACTGGGAGCCAAATGAAAATTTGGCGAGTTGCCTGAAGTTTCGCTTCTAGGACTGCTGCCGTAAAAAAAGTGTTTCATTCTTTCTTCATAACGTTAAATCAGTTGCCTTTATTACGAAGTCCCTCTTCAGGCTGTATCTATTAAAGCAATTTTACCACTGCTGCTTCTTCAATAGTCACGGTTTACCGTCGGAGTCTGATTCAATTTTCGAGTCTCACCGTTCTGACGTTCGAAACAGCGGTTTGAATTTTGAGTTGCAAGACGGAAGTTTTTAAATCGAGTCTCTTCGCTGAAAACGACTGTCCTTCACCAAAACGTGGATTATAAAACGCCTTTCTGACAACGATCCTCCAGCTATCGCCATCGATACTCCTATCGT